TAATGCAGATAAAACAAAAATAATGTTTATAACGCGAAAATTAAAATTCAAAAGACCGACATTAACATTAAACGGAAAACGTCTGGAATACGTAAACACTTTGAAATACTTGGGAATTGAATTACATAAAAAATTAAACTGGTGCCCTCACGTGAGAGGTCAAATTGCGAAGGCCGAAAGGCTCTTACTATCCCTCAGGAAAATAGCTAGATTAAATTGGGGTCTAAATTCACAAACACTTGAAACTATCTATGAGGCAGTCGTTTTACCCATCCTGAGTTACGGCATCGGTGTCTGGGGGGCTTCTCTCTCTCACCAACAAATCAGGGAAATGTTTCTAAAATTCCAAAGACGAATATGTATTAAAATAATAAAAGGTTATCGTACGATTTCACGAGGTTCGGCTCTCGTAATTGCCAACAAAACCCCTTTGGACCTCGAGCTGAAAGCACGCTATGATTACTATCATATCAAAATTACCGGTTTGTCTTCGATTGGTGAGGAACCCATCCTTTTCGCCACTCAGGAGTCGGCAGCTAAGCTTCCTCACCCCGCTTACAATCACGATTTCGCCATAACCGAATACGACGTGTCACGAGAATTGCGCATTTATACCGACGGTTCCAACAGTCCTCGTAGCACGGGTGCTGCTTTTGCATTCCTATCAGGCAGGAATGTAGTCTACAAAACAAACTATAAACTTCATCCTGATTGCAACATAGTACAAGCAGAGGTACTTGCCGTTCGAAACAGCCTAAATTATATAATCGAAAATAAGATACACAATGTTCTAATATGTTCCGATTCCAAAACAGTCATAGCTTATCTTAAGAAACCAAAAATATCCACCGTACTTTGAAATTTACAGTCTATTTAAAACTTGTGTTGCCTCCTATAGCACTTCGATCTGTTGGGTCAAGGCACACAATTCCTGCCCCGGTAATGTGTTGGCCGACTCTCTGGCCACTTCCGCCTACTCTAACGGCGTTATAGCTTTCGATTTTCTTCCCCTCTCCCACGCGAAAAGTCTTCTGCGTCGGAGGTCAACCAGGCTGTGGGAAGGCCGCTGGTCCCTAGACAACAAAGGTGATATCACACACAAATTCTTTCCCACTATAAGCCATAGGCATAAAATTAAACTAAAAAACCACGACTATATTACTACGACATTTCTCACCCAACATGGTAAACTTAATTACTACTTACACCGATTCAAAATTATAAACACTGTAAACTGTAATTGTGGCATGTTGGTTCCCGACACAATATTTCATATTATTTTCGAATGTAGCCTATTTGATCGTTGTCGGAGGAGGCTCATTTCCTTCCTTCACGCGCGTGCTATGGCCTGGCCTGTTCCACTAAGCGAGCTCGTGGCAGATGAAGAAATATTCGCAATAACTAAAAATTGCTTTGAGCAGAGTGCTGCATGCTACGGGCCAACTTAACCTTTTCGTGCTGGCCGCCCTTCCCGGTTTTTCGGTTCGCGGCCAGCACTTTTTCCACTTTACTAACACAAAACCGTATAAACTAAACCTTCCTTCCTAATTTGAGTAATCTTTGTCTGAACATTTTAAAACTTGCAAACACTAAATAAATAGTCTTCAAATACCCATTTAGAGACTCTAACAAATTAGTACTTTTTTAAAATAACTTTCTTGGCCTCTTTGTGCTCTCTGAGCGGTAAGGGGCCTAAAACCACAAATAAAAAAAACCACAAAGTATTTATCTATTATTATCATTTTAGCGATTGTGTTTCTCGTATTATTAACATTATTTCTAAATGTTTATTAATTACAGCGTTCAAGTTAATAATTAATAAAGATGCACCGATAAGCAAAATGGCCGATTACCGATTACCGATTAATCGGCCATACATTATCGACCGATACCGATTAATCGGCCGATTAGTTTAATAATTTATTGCATTAATAGTGTGATATCCTGGAGTTAATTATACAGTTAATTATATGACGGTCCAAAACCCTTTTGTTTTAGAACAGTATCACCTTTCTAATAAACTTCGTGATTAGGTAAAAAGGGAAAAAGAGGGACTTCTGCGGTCAATGACCGAGACGATCTCCTGGAAAAAAATCGTTATTATATCAATAAAAGTAATCTCCTCCATTTGTTTAAAGGTAATTCTATAGACGTTAATATCAACAAGACGGGAATAAGATATGTTTCTCAACACCTCTTTGGTTGCACGTGACACATGGTAACAGCAATAAATCGCCTCGTTCATAGTCAAACGCGACGTTTGATATAAACAAAATCTAGATAGTTGACCATGTTAAAGAAATTATTGTCAGATGAATGTTTATTTATGGATGGGAGCCGTCAAACGTATAAAAATTTATATTATAAAATCATATCTTCTAAACACTGACATCAATAAATTAAACAAACTTCTCTGTGTCGGTTGTCAGTACAAGCTAGATCTAGACATCAACACACGAACAGGTGTGCGTATAATTCATTAATGATGTCATAGTTCTCACCCCCTCAAAAATAGTATAAAGAGGGCTTGGACGCAGTCCACAGGGCGGACATTCACAAGAGGGACATTCACAAGGCGGACATCGACTGCCACATCTACTGATTAATACCGCCATACTGCAGTGACGATCCAGGAACGTTTTCACCAACGACCCATATTACGGATCGAGAACTTAGAGGTATTTTTTTTGGATATCTATTTGTATACTCTCTCTCTGCGAAGTCTCTCTCTGAGAAATCTCTCTCCTAGAGATCTCTCTCTCGTATCTTAATTTAACTTAGAGAATAGATATTAGATGTTTCATATGAAAGACAAATCATTGTCGCGACGTAGAATAGGATTTTTGTAGATCACCTTAGCCTTTGATAAGTACAATTTTATAGTTGTTTATTAAATGTGTTATTCTTGTTCAACCTATGTATATATTTGGGAACCTGTCAACTTACTCATTGGCCTCCCCACTCATTTCATTTTGCCCTCCTATAAAGCCATTCTCTGACAGAGCCGCCGGTAAGTGGGGACAACTAACTTCCTCGGTTCTCACAATTATAATGTAGAAAAAACCCATTTTTCTCCTCCTGGTATTTCCATCTCCCTCGGGTCAGGTAAACAAGAGACGATCCTCTCAAAATCAACAATATCTTCCTTTGTTTGGGAAAGTGTCTAAAATAAATCTCAACACTTAATTGTTGACGCATGGAAACTTCGACATTGTTTAAAAAGCTAAAGTGTTTCTGTGTTTAACAGAAACAAAATATAATTCTTTAACCGATGATATTTGGACAGCAACTACAAACAATTCTCCTTTTTTAAATGCAAAAACCCACTGGTTGAAGGATGATTTTCAGCAGGAAACAGCTGTTTTGCAAATTGTTTCCTTTGAAGGTTCCCACACAGCTACACGAATCAGTAAACAGTTAAAAATTGCTCTTTAACAGTCGAAGTTGACAAGTGATAAAATATTCTTAGTACTGAGAGATTCTGCAGCAAATATGGTAGCTGGATTTATGAATTGCAGCTTAGAAGCATTATCATGCTATATACATACACTGCAGTTGATACTAAACGAATGCATATTTTTTAAACAAAATGTGAAAACTATAATCACAGTTAATAGAAATATTGTCACACATTTTAATTATTCTGCTGTGGCTGTAAGCAAATTGGAAGATTTGCAAGAAAAGTTAGGTTTGCAGAAACACAAATTAAGTCAAGATGTTCCTATTCGCTGGAATTCTACATACTACATGTTGGAACAGCAAAAAGCCCTTGTCACATATGCTATAGATAATCATTTCCTACGTTGAGCCCATATCAGTGGTCTCTCGTTGAAAAAATTGTTCTACTTGTAAAACCATTAAAAGAAATTTCTGTAGAAACCACTTCATCTTCAATAATTCCCACAATAGAGACTAAAATTATTCTTATCAAAAGCAAAGATCAGTAGTTCCTTTAGTGGCATTAATACCACAACAGAAGAACTAGAAAATCCAATAAAAAAAGATACATATATAGAATACAAGTCTTTATGCTTGTCATTTTTATTAGATTCAAGATGAAATTTCAAAAAGGAGGATATGGTAGAGGAAATAAAAATATTGGCAATTGATAGCTTAGATGATGTTGATAACTGAAAATCTCAATAAGAATTAAATTCTAAAGCTTCTACTTCTGGAGATGATCAAGATGAAGGTGAATCTCTAAATTTTTCTGATTTATTTGATGAATTAGCTTCTGGTAAACGAAAGAATAAAGAATAGCATGCTTTTCAAAAAAAAGAAAAAAAAACGAAATAAACGAACAAACATTTCGATCAAGAATTAGAAACATATTTACATTTACCTCTTAAACAAAGACATAGTAGCCTATTTTTGGGGTGGTGAAATATTAAAGAACTTTTTTCTAATTTGAGCAAAATAGCTGTGAAATATTTATGTGCCTCAGCATCTTCCATTGAAAGTGAAANTAAGAAGTAGAATAACAAGTATCGAATGACTGCGGCTTTCGGCTTTCACAAACAATTAAAATAGGAAATTGTATGCGACAATATTAAATTTATTTTTGATTTTACAATGGACTCTTCGACACACTCCACAAACAATTTGTGGTTATTATTTAGAGGAAACGGGGTGAACTTTATTTAAACACACTTAATTTAACCACAAAGTATTGGGAGATGGCATAGCCTCGAACCTGTGTGGAGGACGTGTTTTTAGATCGCTCCGTATTTCGATCGACTCATCGGCTGTACGATTAAGTTAAAATCAGGTTTTTTGTTTCTAACCTTTTTTACTGTAGTTATATACGCTATCGTCTTACGTTTTTCTGGTAAATTCGGTCTAAATTCGATATATTTGTTAACGTGCTATCGACGTTTTCTGTTCCCCACGTGGCCGAGAACAAAGGTCTTTGTCTTCACCCTTTCGTACTGAGTCTACTCTTGAAATTGAACAGTCTTATACCTTGCAAGAAGCGGTAGCAATTAGAAGTGTAAGTAAAAATGGAACAAATGAGCATCGAAACTTTGGACCAAGTATTCACAGAACGAATCGCAGGTGCCAAAGAAGCCCTAGACCTCTCCAGAAACTTTAGCAAGCAGCTGAAGGACAAAATTATTTACGAGCTGGACGAGGCAAGCTACCTCTTCAAACAACTGAGACACTCCCTAGAGAAAGTCGTCTCTCACAACCAGGACCTCGAAAAACAGATCGAAAATTCTCGGACTTCAGCTTCCACGAGCCACGCGACCCCACAAATGGGGAAACAATCTTATGCTGAAGTGGTAAAAAGACCACCCAGACCCTCTAACGATAGAGTAGTGTTAATTTATCCGAAAGAAAATGGAAATATCGAAACAGTAATGCAAGACCTGGAGAAAGATATTAATCCGACGAAAATAGGAGTCGGTATAGAAGCCACTAGAAAAATTAGAAATGGCTACGCTATAAACTGCAACAGTTCTGAAGGTGCCAAACGCCTATCAGAAACACTAAAGACAAGGGAAGACGTCAATGTGCGTAGTCCTGGATTGAGGGATCCCAGAATTATCCTTCCGAAAATAAACTGGTCGGTCCAGGAAGCCGAAATTAAGGAATGCCTACTTAGCCAAGGCAGTCTGTCCCTTCCCCCCGACCACATTAAACATGTTTTCTTTATGGGGAAGGAGGAGAATCAAGAACGCTCGTGGGTTGCTGTTATCTCTCCCGAGCTAAGGAGGCAGCTGGCCGAGCAGAATGATAAGCTCTTTATGGGATGGTCAACTAGGAAAATACACGACTTTTACTACTACAAGAGGTGTTCTGTATGCTGGAGATACGGACACACCAAGGCTACATGCTCCCAGAATCCTCACTGTTCCTTCTGTGCTTCAGAGCATCATGCGTCGAGGGAATGCCAGGCTGAACCAGAGGACTTCCACTGCATCAACTGCCTACGATATAATGCATCGTGTCGCCAGCCAAATCACCGTGTGGACCCCAGGCACACCGCTTGGAGCCGTACCTGCCCGGTCTACAAGTATCAAGTGAAATTAAGCATAGCCTCGACCAGAAAGTAAAAACCTCTACAACAAGCGCTTCGTTAATATATTAATCAAGATGGCGCTGAAACTCATCCAAATCAACTTAGATCATTGCGCGACGGCCACGGACCATCTCATTAAAGTCGCGACTGACCACTGCTTCGATCTAGCGATAATCCAAGACCCCTACGCCACTTCACGGATACTTAATGTTCCGGGAGGTGTCGAGTGTCTCAATTTAGGTTTAGCTTCCGCGATCCTAGTATTTAACAATAATATTAGCGCCTCGCTCGTTCCGGAACTGTCGAACGAATTCTCCACCTCAGTCCTAATAAACCTACGAAACTACAAATTCATTCTAAATTCCACGTATCTCGCTCCATCTGGGCAAATTCTTAATCAACTCTCGGCCATTCATTCTATCTTCTCGTCTGTCCATCTTCCCCTAATTATCGGAATCGACGGAAATGGTCGGTCACCCGTTTGGTTCGACAGACTTCGGAACGAGCGAGGCGAACACCTATTAGAATTTATCTATGACCTAGATTTCAATATCCATAACTCTGGTGACATCCCAACCTTCAGCGCACATCAGGGCGAAAGTTATATCGACCTTACACTCTCCAAAGGAAGCATAGGAAATTCTATTATAAATTGGCAAGTCCTTCTAGAAGAAACCCTCTCTGGACACAGATACATAACTTTCGATTTAATCCTAAGCCCTCTCTCCACCCCTCCTGTCCAAAGAATACTAAATTATAATATCAAAAAAGCCAACTGGAATATGTTTAGTCAATTGCTCGTCGAAGGCAATTCTGCTCTCAATTCTCAAATGAATCATTATACTCCTGTGGATGATTTAGTCCATGAATATACAAAGTTGCTACAAAATTCCGCGAATGACTCCATTCCTGTTAAAAAAAAGTTACAAAACAATTGTCCCCTGGTGGTCTGACGCTTTGACTGTCTCCAGGCGTCGTGTCAATAGATTAAGACGCAAATTCCAACGAACCAATGGTCCAGATCATAGCGATTCTCGCGAGCAATATAAAGCTGCCAGAAGGGACTATCAAAAACTAATAAAAGAATCCAAAACTGAGTCGTGGAAGAAATTCTGCATGATTGAAGGCAATTCCTCCCCTTGGAGCCGCGTCTATAAACTATTAAGGAAAGACTTCTCGACCCACATAACCAAGTTATCCATCAAAAATTCCGCAGGCGAAACTTTATACGATGATAGAGCGGTAGCCAGCCTTTTTATAAATACTTTCTTTCTCTCGGACGACCCGTCATCCGATTCCCCCTATCACAGGCAGATCAGAGAAATCATTGAAACCCCTTACTCAAAGGAAAACGACTTGCCTTTTAATATTTCGGAAATAAATCAAGTAGTTTCGGCCCAGCATAGTAAGAAATCCCCCGGCCATGACGGGCTAAATGCAGAAATTATTAAAAACGCCTTTAACCTAGACCCCAGTATCCTCTCCCACATCTTTAACCGCTGCCTGTCTTCCGGGTGCTTTCCGACAGCGTGGAAACATGCTATTGTTAGGCTCATCCCCAAGCCAGGGAGGCGTTTGGACTCTGTAAAATCTTTTCGACCAATAAGTTTACTTCCAGTGCTAGGGAAAATCCTAGAGAAGCTAATGATAAATAGAATAACCCATCACTTAACTAAAAAGAATTACTTAAGTAACAATCAATTTGGCTTTACTCCCCAGAAAAGTACCACGGAACCCCTAATAATAGTCAGAGACCGCATGAAAGACGC